ATCATATCACCTGATATGATTTTATTTTCTCCTTTCCAGTTTGGATGTCTTTTATTATTTCTTTCTCTTGCCTAATTTCTCTAGCTAAAACTTACAGTAGTATGTTGACTACAAGTGGTGAAAGTGGGCATTCTTGCCTTGTTCCTGACTTTAAAAGGAAAACCTTTCAATCCTTCATTATTGACAATATTACCTCTGGAATTTTCATATATGGTCTTTATCATGTTCAGGAAATTTCTTCCTATTCCTAGTTTTTGTAGGTTTTTATAATGAAAAGGTGTTGAATTTTCTCAAATGCTTTTTCTGCGTCAGTTGAAATGATCATGTGGGGTTTTTCCTAGCATTCTGTTAATTTGGTATATTTCTTTGATTGGCTTTCATATGTTGAAGCATTCTTGCGTTCCAGGAATAAATCTCACTTAGTCATAATGTATAATAGTTTTAATGTGCTGTTGAATTGTTTGAGAGTATTCTGCTGAAGATTTTTGCATTAATATTCATCACGGATATTGGTCTATAGTTCTCTTTCTTTTTTTCTTTCTTTCTTCTTCCTTTCTTGTGGTGTCTTTATCTGGTCTTGATATCAGGGTAATGCTGGCCTCAAAAAATTGAGTTATGAGGCGTTACTGCCTCTTTATACAGTTTTCTAGAAGAATTGATGAGGAGTTGGTATTATTTTCTCCTTTACCACTGTGCTATGTGCTAGTTTTTAGTGTTTTTTTCATCATTTGGCTTATCAAACTTTTTCTCCACTCTCCTGTGTTCCTCACTTAGATTTTTGCTGCAATTACATCTTACTTTCTTCCTCCTTCCTTCCTTCCTTCCTTCCTTTCTTCCTTCCTTCCTTGAGCTGACAACTCAGAGCCTGGAACCTGCTTCAGATTCTGTCAATCTCTCTCTCTCTTTTTCTCTGCCCCTCCCCCACTCATGCTCTGTCTCTCAAAAACGAATAAATGTTAAAAATAAATAAATAAAATATTTTAACATCCCTTTTATTCCTGAGGTAAAATGTGTAAATTTCGTCCAACTTCACTAGAAGACATAATAAAGAAGTAGACAGAGGCTTGTACCTAAATGTAGAATTGAAATAAATGTGAAGGCTATGAATGCAGGTTGAGACAAAAGCAGGTTTATCATTTCAGAATGGCAAATTTTATTGGAGAAATTCTAAAGAACATTTTTCCTTTGATTTACATAATATTTGCATTCTTGGAAATTTCAGTATATAATTAAACTAGGCAAAAAATACTTTGTTTTATATTTTTAAAGGAGTAAATTTCTAGACTTAAATAATTATAAACAGGTGTTTTTCTTTTTACCTACATGAATGTCTCATAAGACAGTCAAAATTTATGCGGGTTTGGGCCAGTTTTTCAATGTGTAGACTATCCACTGCACTATAAAATGAGCTAGCATTCCTTTGCACCTTTCACTGAGTATCAATAAAACCTTCCACTCAATTATTGTTACAACCACTAATGATTCCCCAAATTCCCAAAGACACATATGAGGTAGTACTTTACTTTCCTATTGAGAATACTGGTATAAAGTGATAAAAGAAATTTGCTGATATATTATTGAGAAGGCGAGGTAATGAAATAAAAGTTTTGTTCAGGAATATCTGATACCTGCTTTCCATCGGTGAGGGCTGAGTAAAGAAAAAATCAAAAAAAGAACTTCCTTTTATTTATTTGACTGTTTACAGCAGTTGTTTATAAAGCATTTTCATACATGTTATACATCTCACATCAACTGTAAATTTAGTATCTCCACAATTTTAAAAAGTTTTTTATTTTAATTCCAGTATAGTTAATATACAGTGTATTAGTTTCAGGTGTACAGTATAGTAATTCAATTATTCTATGCATTACTCAGTGCACATCATGATAAGTATACTCTTTAATCCTCATCTCCTATTTCACATGTCTCACCATCCACCTCCTCGATGGTAACCAACAGTTGGTTCTCTAAAGCAAAGTCTGTTTCTTGATCTCTTTCTCTCCTTTTTCCTTTTTTTGTTTGTTTCTTAAATTCCACACAGGAGTGAAATCATATGGTATTTGTCTTTGACTTATTTCACTTAGCATTATATTTTCTAGCTCCAGCCATGTCATTGCAAATGGCACGATTTCATTCTTAAGGCTGAATAATATTCCATTGTGTACATATGCCACATCTTATTTATCCATTCATCTATCAGTGGGCACTTGGGAGGCTTCCATAATTTGGCAATTGTAAACAATGCTGCTATAAACATAGGGGTGTATATCTTTTTTGAATTGGTGTTTTCATTTCCTTTACTTGTGCAATTTCATTTTCTAGTTGTGCGATTACTAGATCATACGGTAGTTTTATTTTTAACTTTTTGAGGAAACTCCATACTCTTTTCCACAATGGCTGCACCAGTTTGCATTGCCACCAACAGTGTAGGAGCATTCCTCTTCTTCATATTCTCACAAAGCTTGCTGTTTCTTGTGTCTTTCATTTTAGCCATTATCACAGGTATGAGGTGGTATCTCTCTGTAGTTTTAATTTGCATATCTGTGATGAAGAGTGATGTTGTGCATCTTTTCATGTGTCTGTTGGCCATCTGGATGTCTTCTTTAGAGAAATGCCTGTTCCTCTCTGCTGCCCATTTGTTAACTGGATTATTTGAGTTCTGGGTATTGAGTTGTATCTGTTCTTTATATATTTTGGATACTAACCTTATATTGGGTAGGTCTTTGCACTGCAGATATCTTCTCCCATTCAGTATGCCATCTTTTAGTTTTGCTGTTTGTTTCCTTTGCTGTACACACACACTTTATTTTGATATAATCCCAATAGCTTATGTTTGCTTTTATTTCCTTTGCTTCAGGAGATATATCTAGAAAAACGTTGCTATGGCTGATGTCAGAGAAACTATGGCCTGTGTTCTCTTCTAAAATGTTTATGGTTTCAGGTCTCACATTTAGGTCTTAATCCATTTTGAGTTTATTTTTGTGTATGATATAAGAAAGCAGTCCAGGATCATTCTTTTGCATGTAGCTGTCCAGTTTTCCTAACACCATTTGTTGAAGAGACTGTTTTTCCCATTGCATACTCCTACCTCCTTTGTCAAAGATTAATTGACCATATAATTGTGGGTCTGTTTCTGGGCTTTCTACTCTGTTCCATTGATCTATGCGTCTAGTGTTGTGCCAGCACCATACTCTTGATTACTACAGCTTTGTGCTATAACTTGAAATCTCAAACTGTGATACCTGCAGTTTTGCTTTTTTTTTTTTTTTCATGATTGCTTTGGGTATTCAGGGATTTTTGTGGTTCCACATGAATTTTAGGGTATTTTTCTTCTAGTTTGACGAAAAATGCTCTTGATATTTTGATAAGGATTGCATTAAACGTGTAGATTGCTTTGGGTAGTTCAGACATTTTAACAATATTTTTGTTCTTCGAACCCATGAGCAGGGAAAGTGTTTCCATTTCCTTGTGTCATCTTCAATTTCTTTCATCAATGTTTTATAGCTTTCAGAGTACAGGTCTTTCACCTCTTTGGATAGGTTTATTCCTAGGTATCTTATAATTTTTGGTGCAATTGTAAATGAAATTTTCTTAATTTCTCTTTCTGCTGCTTCATTATTAGAGTTGCATTTCTAAATACAACAGATTTCTGCACATTTGTATCCTGAAACTTTACTGAATTGATTACTGGTAATAGTTTTTTTTTTTTTTGAGTCCTTAGGGCTTTCTTTTTTTTTCTTTAAATTCATTTACTTATTATTTCTTTTTTTAACATTTATTTATTTATTTATGTACTTCTTTATTTATTTTACTGTTTTACTCATTCTTGAGAGAGAGAGAGAGATAGAGACAGCATGAGCAGGGGAGGGTCAGAGAGAGAGGGAGACACAGAATCAAAAGCAGGCTCCAGGCCTTGAGCCAGCTGTCAGCACAGAGCCTGAAATGGGGCTTGAACCCACGAACCGTGAGATCATGACCTGAGCTGAAGTCGGGTGCTCAACTGACTGAGCCACCCAGGTGCCCCAATGTTTATTTATTTTTGAAACAGAGAGAGCATGAGCAGGTGAAGGGCAGAAAGAGACAGAGACAGAATCCAAAGCAGGCTCCAGGCTCTGAGCTGTCAGCACAGAGCCTGACATGGGGCTTGAACTCATTACCTGTGAGGTCATGAGCTGAAGTCAGCCGCTTAACCGACTGAGCCACCCAGGTGCCCTCATTTATTATTTTTGAGAGACAGAAAGAGAGAGAGAGAGAGCACAAGTGGGTGATGGGCAGAGAGAGAGGGAAACACAGAATCTGAAGCAGGCTCCAGGGGCTGAGCTGTCAGCACAGAATCCAATGCAGAGCTTGAACTCACAAACCAGGAGATCATGACCTGAACTGAAGTCGAAGGCTCAACTGACGGAGCCCCCCAGGTGTCCCCTTAGGGTTTTCTATATATAGTATCATGTCATATGCAAATAGTGACAGTTTAATTTCTTCCTTACCAATATGGAATCCTCATTTCTTTTTCTTGTCTGATTGCTGAGGCTAGGACTTCTAGTAGTATGTTGAATAAAAGTGGTGAGAGTGAACATGTTTGTCTTGTTTCTGATCTTACAGGAAAAACTTAACAGTTTTTCACTATTGAGTATAATGTTGGCTATTCATATATGGCTATTATTATGTTGAGGTACGTTCCTTCTAAACCCACTTTGTTGATGGGTGCCTAGGTGACTCAGTTGGTTAAATGTCCAACTCTTGGTTTTGGCTCAGGTCATGATCTCACAGTTTCATGGGTTGGAGCTCCGCATCAGGCTCTGTGCTGACAGTGCAGAGACTGCTTGGGATTCTCTGTCTCCCTCTCTCTCTGCCCCTCCTTTATGCTGTCTCTGCCTCTCTCAAAATAAATAAATATACTTAAAAAAATAAACCCACATCATTGAGAGTTATGAACAGATGTTTAGTTTTGTCAATAAACTGAGAACTTATTAATATATTCCCCCTTCTTATTTTTATAGGACATTAATATGCAGCTGACTAACATACTGCTCAATGTGCAGCGGATAGTAAATCGCTACACTGCTGATGAGAATGTGCGCTCTGGAAGGAAAATCTCCTTTGTAGAATATAAGAAGCGGAGAATAAATTTCCTGGATAAAATAGTTACTTATGCTAAGAACACTGAAATTAAAGAAAAGACTCTTTGGTGCATCCTGGCCTGGTTGGAAGAATGGAGTAAGTTTTCAGTGGTGGTTCAAAGAAAAACCACTAAGTTAATGAAAAAGAGAACAGGATCTATATATAAAATTTAAAGGGTTAATCAGACTATCTTAAAAGAAGACTAAAGAGGTTATTCAGAGAATAATTGTCTACTGTTTCAGTAAGAATAAAGTAAGAAATATATAGTCTTGCTTACTTAGTGCCAGCTATTTCAGGCTCCTTGTTTCTCTTCAAGCACACCAGCATGCCTCTGCCCGGTGTCTTCATGCTAACTATTCCTTTGCCTAGAACACTTCACCAAGTAGCTCATTCGCTGATTATATCTCACTTAAAAATGTTGCTTTCTCTGACCATCTCCATTCCTTATTCTCTGGCACTGTCCATTACTCTTTATTCTTTATTTTTGTCTGTAGCATTTCTTACCATTTGCCATACTATATAATTAACGTTTATATTTTTATGTTTTGTGTGTCTCCTTCCCTAGAACACAAGCTGTATGAAGTCAGGGAATTTGTTTTATTCAGTGTTGTATCCTCAGCATCTAGAACAATACATAAAAAAGGAGACATTTGGTTGAAGGAAAGAATGAATAAACTAAGAATACAAAAAGAAGAACTTCATTAAGTTGCAAGAAATCTCATGTAATGAAGGTTTTAAAATACAGATAACTTATGAAAGGAGTTAATTGAGGTTTAGTTCCTCAATATTAAAACACATGTTCACATTTTAGTTACCAGAGCATTTCCATGTCCAAGATTTACTATTCAGCTTTCTATTCCAAGTCACATCCTTTTTCATTTCTTCATAGAGAAAAGCTTCAGGACAGCAATAAGTGCAAGATATCTATATTCCTCAATTCTACAGTATGGAGTAGTTAGCCAATATTATAAGCCTGTATGATTATAATCATTTTTCTGCACAAAAATATTTTTTTTTACTCTCTTCAAGATGCCATTTTGTCTGAGATGACTGCAATTGATATTGAGGAACACCATCACTGGATAGCAAAAATGGAGTTTTTGCCAGAAATGTTCAAAGCTATTGAGAACAATGTCAAGATACTGAGTAGAATTAGTGTATCTTTGTTTGAAGAAAAGAAGAAACAAAAGAAAAAAATAAGTAAGGGTACTTTAAGACATTGGAAACAGATTTGACTTTTTCTAAAACATGGCTTTATTAAGGTACAATTTCCATACCATAAAACTCATGTATGTTAAATGTACAATTCAATGACTTTTAGTAAATTTAAAGTTGTGTAGTTATCAAAACAATTTAATTCAATTTTTTAAAGTAGGTTCCATGCCCATTGTGGGGTTTGAAGTCATGATCCAGAGATCCAGAGTCACATGTTTTACCCACTGAGCCAACCAGTCACCACCTCCACCACCCCCTCTGCCACACACAATTCTAGAACATTTCCTTCATCCCAAAAAAGATCCCTCATGCTCATTTGTAGTCAATCCTCACTCCCACCCCAGTTCCAAACATATACCAATCTATTTTCTGTCTCAATAGGTTTGCCTTTTCTGGACACTTCATAAGATGGAATCATATTATATGTAGTCTTTTATATCTGATTTCTTTTATTTAAATAATGGTTTTGAGGTTCAGTCAGGTTTTAGGATGTATCAGTAGTTTCTTCCTTTCTATGTCCAATTGTATATCATTGTTTGTATACACTACATTGTTTATCTACTCACCAGTTCACGGACATTCAGATTATTTCTACATTTGACTTTTTAGAAAAAAATTTTAATGTTTATTTATTTTTGAGAGAGAGAGAGAGAGCAGGGAGGGGCAGAGAGAGATGGAGACACAGAATCTGAAGCAGGCTGCAGGCTCTGAGATGTCAGCACAGAGCCCGATGCGGGGCTCAAGCCCATGAATTGTGAGATCATGACCTGAGCCTAAGTCGGACACTCAACAACTGAGCCACTCACTCCCCTCACTGTGGTTTTAAATTGTACTTCCCTAAAGACTGAGGATGTTGAGCATCTTTTCAGGTGCTTATTAGACAGTCCTATATTTATTTTGAAGAAATGACTATTCAGATACTTACCTGTTTCTATTATTGAGTTTTAAGAGTCCTTTATGTATTCTGAATACAAGTCCTGAAACATGATTCTCACGGATGCCTAAATGGCTCAGTTGGTTAAGGGTCTGACTTCAACTCCTGTCATGATCTTGCAGTTCACGGGTTCAAGCCCCATATTGGACTCTGTGCTGACAGCTCAGAGCCTGGAGCCTGCTTCAGATTCCGTGTCTCCCTCTTTTTCTGCCCCTCCCCTGCTCTCTCTCTCTCTCTCTCTGAAAAATAAACATTAAAAAAAAAAAAAGAGGGGCACCTCAGTGGCTCAATTGGTGAAGTGTTTGACTTTGGCTCAGGTCATGATCTCGTGGTTCTGAGTTCGAGTCCCACATTGGGCTCTGTGTTGACAGCTCAGAGCCTAAGTCTGCCTTGGATTATGTGTCTCCCTCTCTCTCTGCCTCTCCCTGACTCGCATTCTGTCTGTCTCAAAAGTAAACATTAAAAAAAAAAAAAAGAAAAGAAATGTGATTCTCACATATTTTCTCTCAATCTGTGGTTTGTCTTTTCACTTTCTTAATAGGGAATTTGAAGCCCAATGGTGTTTGATTTTGATAAAGTCAAATCAATTTAGCAATGTTTTCTTTTATGGTTCATGGTGTTAGTGTTGTATTAAACACTTGTATTGGGGGGTGCCTGGCTGACTCAGGAAGAGGAGCATGCGACACTTGATATCAGGATCATGAGTTTGAGCCCCTCATTGGGTATAGAGATTACTAAAAAAATAAATAAATAACTTAAAACAAACAAACAAAAAAAAACTTGTATTGGTCAGTTTCAACCAGAGAAGCAGAACCAGTAGGAAATTATCTGTAATCTACATATCTAATAGCCAATGCAAAGTATTTTGTGGAACATACTTTGTATTCTTTCAATTCTTTTACATTTATTGGGACTTGCTTTATAGTCTACCATACAGTCTATCTTGGAGAATGTTCTGTATGTGCTTGAAAAGAATATATATTTTGCTTTTGTTGGGTGGAATGTTCTACAGTTGGTTTATATTGTTGTTTTAATCTTCTATATATATCCTTATTGATTTTCTGTCTAGTTGTTCTATTATTAAGAATGGGATATTAAACTTTCTAACTCTTATTATTGAGTTAGCTATTTCTCTCTTTAATTCTCTCTGGTTTTTCTTCCTATATTTTAAGGCTCTGTTATTAGGTGCATATATGTTCATAATTGTGATAGTTTTCTGATGAACTGACATTTTTATCATTATAAAATGTCTCTCATTGTCTCTAGAACCTTTTTCTTTGTATTAAAGTCTATTTTGTTTGATATTAGTCAATTCTTTCCAGCTCCCCTGTGGTGAATGTTTGCAAGATTGAATTTAAGATGTGTTGCTTATCATTGGATCTTGTTGGCTTTTAAATATATATATATACACACACACACAAATATACACATACACATAAAATTGGGCAATCTTTCACTTTTGAGTACTTAATTCATTCATATTTAATGTAATTATTGATATGGTTGGATTTATATCTGCTATGTTGCTGTTTATTTTCCATGTCTCATCTCTTTGTTCTCCTGTTCTTCTTTTACTACTTTGTGTTAAATAAGTATTTTTTAGTGTACCGTTTTAATTCCATTTTCCCCCTATTTTGGGGGAGTAATTTCCTTAGTAGCTCTTTAGGGATTGCAGTACACATTTTAAATTATCACAACCTGGAGTGCCTGGGTGGCTCAGTTGGTTAAGCATTGGACTGCTGATTTTGGCTCAGGTCATGATTTCACTGTTGGTGAGTTTGAGCACTGACAGCGTGGAGCCTACTTGGGATTCTTTCTCTCCCTTCCTCTTTGCCTCTCCCCCTTTCATTTTTTCTCTCTCTCAAAATAAATAAACTTAAACATATTATCACAATATGTTTCAGATTAGTACCAACTTAATACAAGCAAAATATAGAATTTTTGCTCCAATAGCTCCATTCTCTTCCCCTCTTTTGGGTTTTGCTATATATATTACATTTTTATGTATCATAAGCCCAACAATATAGTTCATAATTTTTTTTATATGGTTGTCTTCTTAATCAGTTGAGAGAGGAAAAGAAAACATATTTTTAACTACATATACTGGTGCTTTTTATTTCTTTATGTGAATTTGAGTTATCCTCTGGTATCATTACTTTTCAGTCTGAAGGGCTTCTTTGCCTTATTATAAGACTGCAGTAAATTCTTTCCATTTTTGCTTATCTGGAATGTCTTTATTTCACTTTCATTTTTTGATAGTCTTTATTTTTAAAGGTAGTTTTAAATTTATAAAAAAGTGAGAAAATAGTACGGAGAATTCCATATATCTCCATAGTTTCCCCTATTACTAATATATTACATTAGTATGATACATTTGTTATAATTAACAAACCAGTATTGACACATTATAAACTAAAGTCCATAATTTATGGACTGTAGTAATAATTCCTTGTTTTTACCTAATGTCCTTTTTTGTTTCAGGATCCCATCCATGGTACCTAATTACATTTAGTTGTCATGACTTCTTAGGCTTTCTTGGATGTGACAATTTCATAGACTTTTCTTTCTGTTTGATGTTCCTGACACACTGGAGGAGTATCAGTCAGATCTATTACAAGATGCTCCCCTACTGGAATCTGTCTGGGGTTTTTCTCAAGTTTACTCTGGGGTTTTGGATTTGGGGGAGAAAGATCACAGAGGTAAAGTACCATTGTCATCATATAATTTCAAGGGTACATATTATCAAATGACTCACTGTTGATCTTGATCACCTGGTTAAAGTAGTGCTTGTCTGGTTTCTCCACTGTAAAGTTACTCTTTTTCTTCATTTTCCATATTTTGCTTTTAAAAATGAGTCTATATATCAGCCCACACTTAAGGAAAGGGGAGGTATGATCCCTTTTAGGATGAATACCTACATAAATTATTTGAAGTTCTTATGCACTATAATTTGTCTCTTCTTCCTGATTTATTAATTTATTCAATTATTTATATAAAAATGAACTTAGATATTTTTTGTACTTTGAATTATAATCTAATCCTACTATATTTACTTGCTCAAGTTGTTCTAGTTTTGGCCATTGGGACCTCTTTCGGTTGGTTCCTGTGCCCCTTTAACATAACCTCATTGATGTGGTTTTTTCTTTTTTCTTTTTTTAGCACTCCCCTACTTTCTGGCACTATAAGATGCTTCAGGTTCATTTTTAATATGTCCTGCCCTAATCCAAGAATCTGTCATTTCTCCAAGGATTTTTGGTTAGTTTTAGTGGCGAATAGTATTAAAAAGTAAGGTCTGGTTGCTAGGTGTGTTCATTGCTACTGGGGTGTCATTTCTGTTCAGTCATTTCTCTCATTTGACAGAGGAAAAAAATATATGTATATGTATATATGTATACACATATGTGTATTGTATATAATACGTACATGTATGTATGTATGTGTACGTGTGTGTGTAGAGCCAATGCATTTACGCGTATTTATTAATAGGTATATGTATAATCATCTGTAACTACTTTTTTAATGTTTTATTTATTTCTGAGAGAGAGAGAAAGACAGGGTGAGCAGGGGAGGGTCAGAGAGAGACGGAGATACAGAATCTGAAGCAGTCTCCAGGCTCTGAGCTAGCTGTCAGCACAGAGCCCGATGTGGGGCTTGAACCCACGAACTGTAAGATCATGGACCTGAGCCAAAGTCAAACGCTTAACCAACTGAGCCATCCAGGTGCCCCCATCTGTAACTACTTTAAACTAAACATAAGTTCATAATGATTCCTCTAATTTTAATTCATTATCACACATAGATCATTCCAGTTTCTTCCCCTTGCTTATCTATAAATTATGACAAACAATAAGAAACTTGCTCCTACCATCTACTTTACTTAATTGTTCGATTCCAATATATATGCATAATATTATCAGAATTATTAGCCCATACCCTAGCAGGAATTAACTTATCAGCTAGTGCACAGCACTTATGTGCAGTTCCCTTTGTCCTCAGTCTTACAGACTCCATTCATTTCCAGTTACTTATAGGTCAGCACTCTCCCAATCTCCTCATTCCTTTCAGTGAGGTTGTGTCATACATTTCTTATATTATTAGATTCTTTTATCATAGTCTACATTCTTTCCTGGGATCCCCTGACTTCTTAGATAGGTACATAAAAAATTTGCATACATTAAGTTTCACTCTTTGTGCTATAGAGTTCTACTGGGTTTGACAAGTGTATATTGTCATGTATCCACCATTATAGTATCATATATAATAGTTTTTCCACCCTAAAAATGCCCTGTGATTCACTTATTTATTCTTCCCCTCTTTCCCCAAGCCCCTGATAACCACTAATTTTTTATGTCTCCATAGTTTTGACTTTTCAAGAATGTCATATAATTGGAATAGTGTAGTATGTAGCTTTTTCAGACTGACTTCTATCACTTAGCAATACACATTTAAGGTTCCTCCCTATCTTTTTGTGGCTTAATAGCTTATTTCTTTTTACTGCCGAATAATAATATTCCATTGTGCAGATGCACCAGTTTGTTTATGTGGTTGCTTCCAGGTTCTGGTGATTAAGAATAAAACTGCTATATGTACATATATATATGTATATATATATATACGTATATATATATACATTCTTGTGGACATAGGAGCATGATTGCTAGATCATTTGATAAGACTACATTACTTTGTAAGGAACTGCCAAACTGTCAAGTACAAGGAGATGTACCATTTTTCATTCTCACCATTTTTCAACAGGAGTTCTTGTCACTCCGTCCTTGTTAGCAATTGGCATTATCAGTTTTTTGGATTCTAGCCATTTTCATAAATGTGTAACATATCTCATTGTTGTAATTTTCAATTCTGTCTTTTTTCAAGTTTTTACTTAAATTCTAGTTAGTTAACATATAGTATAATACTGGTTTCAGTAGTAGGATTTAGTGATTCATCACTTACATATAACACCCAGTGCTTATCACAACAAATGCCCTCCTTAATACCTATCACCTATTTAGCCTATTCCTTACCCACCTCCCCTCCCCTCAGTTTGTTCTCTATAGTTTATAGTCTCATATGGTTTGTCTCCCTTTCCTTTTTATTTTCTCTTCTTTCTCTTATGTTCATCTGTTTTGTTTCTTAAATTCTACATGAGTGAAATAATATGGTATTTGGCTTTCTCTGACTGACATTTCACTTAGCATAATACACTCTAGCTCCATCCACATTGTTGCAAATGAGAAGATTTCATTCTTTTTTGGGCTGAGTAATATTGCATTGGATATATATCCCACATCTTTATCCACTCATCAGTTGATGGACAACTGGGGTCTTTCCATAATTTGGTTATTGCTGATAATGCTGCTTTAAACACTGAGGTGCATGTGTCCCTTTGAATCAGTATTTTTGTATCTTTTGAGTAAATATCTAGTAGTGCAATTGCTGGGTCATAAGGTAGTTCTATTTTTAACTTTCTAAGGAACCTCCATTCTGCTTTCCACAGCGGATGCAATAGTTTGCAATTCTCTAATGACAGATGACACTGAGCACCTTTTCATATCCTTAGTTGCCATCTATATGTCTTATTGCTTGCCTTCATTAAAATACATCTATGGTACTTTTAAAGTAGTTATTTCAGGGAATGGATGTGATAGAAATTCTTTAATACATTTAGAGAAGTGTTGAAAAACATATGGATATAGGAGTGTTCACAGCAAGCCACCTTGACAGGAGTGTTAGTTCAGTGAATAATGTAATATATTTAGAGAACTGTTTAAAATCACATGCAATAAGGATGGTTCAAGAGCTATATGTGCATACTACTTTGAGAAAAGTGCTATTTCAGGGAATGGATATAATAGAAATTCTGTAATCCATTTAGAGAAGCGTTTAAAGACACTTATAATGAGGATGGTTATGGGAATTGCATGTGCATGGCACTTTGGGAAGAGTGTTATTTCAGGGAATTGATATTTTATCTTCATTTTTTGAAGGATAGTTTTCCTGGATATAGATTCATGGTTAGCAGTATTATTCTTTCACCACTTTGAATAGTCATCCCACTGTGTTTGGGCTTCTTGTTTCTAATAAGTAGTAAGCTGTTACATTTACTATGGCTCCCCTATGCTTTGATATTTTTTAGTCTCCTTTGATTGTGAACAGTTTTTTTTTACCTTTTTGCTTTGAAGATTCTTTGTCTGGATTTCAACAATTGACTATGATGTATCTAGGTATGGATCCTTTTTTTAAAAATTTATCTTACTTAGAGTTCAGTGAGCTTCTTGAATCTGTAGATTAATGTTTTTCATCAAATTTGGGATGATTTGACCATTATTATTTCCTCAATATTTTTTAAAAGTTTATCTATTTTTGTAAGTGTTTCTAGTGTTTATTTACTTACTTTTGAGACAGAGAAGAGCAAGGGAGGGAGGGGCAAAGACAGAGGAGGAGAGAGAGAATTACAAGCAGGGTCTGTACTGTTAGCACAGAGCCAGATGTAAGGCTTAAACTCATGAACCATGAGATCATGACCTGAGTTGAAATCAATAGTCAGATTCTTAAACAACTGAGCCATCCAGGCACCCCTAAAACTGGACATTTTAGATAATATATTATAGCAACTTTAGATTCTGACTCCCCCTATAACCCCAGGATTTCTTTTTGCTCCTTTTTTGGTTTGCTTTTTAGTGACTTGCCTGGACTAATTTAGTGGAGTCTGTCTCCCCAGCAGTGTGTGGCTGTTGATACCTCTTTTCAGATATTATTCTTTTTTTACTTTCACTTTTTTCACTTTTGTTTATATTTTAAAGCTTGAATTCCTAAAGGTCACCTTTGGGTCAGCATAGGTGAGTGGTCAATAATTGGCCAATCATTAAGTGATCCAGATTGATCCCAGTAAGGCTTCTATTCTTTGCTAATGGGTCTGTGTGTGGGTTAGGGAAGTATTGTTTTAGACAGTGTCCCTAGGCATGTTTATTTCCCTGCTATTCCAGATCAAATCAGCCCACTAAGGCAGTAGAGCTTCATAGCCTGACTCACTCTTGTAGAACTACGAGGCCACAGGGCTTGGGGGAGTTGGAAACAGAAGCAGCTCCAGGCTAAAACATCACAGACTTCCAGTTCTTACTGAAGTTTAGTAGTTTTTCTTGAAAAAAAAAAATGCTTACCAATTTGTTGTATGCCTGTAGTCAATTTCCAAAGTCCTAAAATAGTCAGTTTTGTCAAGTTGTATCATTGCTTTTTCGGGAAAAACATTTGCCAAGTTTCTCATTCAGCCATTCTAGAAATCCCTTCAAATGTTTGACTTTTTTTCTGCTCTTTTGTGACTCTTCTGAAAGAACCAAGATTAAGTGTGATTCAGAAAAGTGAGAAAAGAAAGATAGGAATGCAAGAAAGCAAATGGAAAGCACCAAGAATAATCAAAGCCAATTGAAAGTTTAGCTCATATTATTCTAATCCCAAACTTATATATGAAGATAAGCTGAGATCATAACTAAAGACAAAATTTTAGAAGTAAAAGTTCTAGGTAATTGTGGGAAAAATAATACTATTTATTTTGGACGCAAAAAAAATTTTTTTAAGATTTTCTTTTTAGGGGCACCTGTGTGGCTTAGTGGGTTGAGCATCTGGCCATTGATTTCAGCTCAGGTCATGATCTCAGAGTTGTGAGATTGAGCCTTGCACTGGGCTCCATACTGAGTGGGGAGCTTGCTTAAGATTCTCTGAAAGAAAGAAAGAAGGAAGGAAGGAAGGAAGGAAGGAAGGAAGGAAGGAGAGAAAGAAAGAAAGAAAGAAAGAGAAAAGAAAAGAAAAGAAAAGAAAAAAGATTTTAAGTGATCTCTACACCCAACGTGGGGTTTAAACTCACAACCCTGAGATCAAGAGTCACATACTCTATGTGCCAGTCAGGTGCCCCATTGAAGCCAAAGCTTTCTGATGAATCTTTTTTCTATAGCTTTCTATAATTTGGGCTAAATTCCTTAGGCTTTAGCATAGATAGAGCACAACACAGAAGACAAAATTAAATCTCATTATTTTATGTTTTGTGGTTTTTTTCCCTCTAGCATCTAGAGGTACTCTGTGGAAATCTTGGAAAGAAAGAGTTATAAAGCGACCTGCAACAGCTCATGCTTTAAGACCAGATCAGATGATTAGTGATGAATTTGCAACAAATACAAAGGTTTCAGAAATTCAAGATATGCTACAGGAACTCATAAACACTGCAATGTTCAATAAACTGGAAAATAATGCTATTAAGTATATATCATCAACAGTAGTAAACCTTTCTAAAGCTTTGAGTACACTAAATGATGAAGTAAAAGTTTTTAACCTCCAAAGTGCTACTATGTATATAAATGAGACAAGTGAAAAAGAAAAAGAGGTCTCTCTAAAGATAATACAAGATCTCAGTGAACAAAATGAAATACTTCAGCAGAAACTTCAAGATGCAGAAGAAAAATATGAACAATTTATTTGGTCCAAAGGTGTTGTAGAACACCAAGTATGTATAGCATTACCCACATCAACCTTAAAAGTGTTGCCTGAGCTTTCTCCACAATCATCCATTGCCATTAGCAAAGACGACATAGGAAGCAGTATGGAAAATATTTTGGTTAAAGAATTTGAAAATATTATGGACGAGGCCCAAACAAAAGGGACCAAAGCCTCGGGAATCAAGTGGGACTCAGCATTCTCACATATAGCCCCAGTTGAAATGACTCCAGATTTAACTGAACAGCAATATCCTTTACCTGAAAAAAAACAAAAAGAGTCTTCTAAAGGTATCAGTGAAGAGAACGTATCACAGAAAGAAAAGCAAACTGAAAGCTTATATATGCATGAGACCTCTGGATCACATCTGAGTCATGATGAAGGTAAACAGAGAGTCTCACAGCCCAACCCTGATCTCCACTTGGAGCTACAGGCACTGGAAAAGGATAGAAAAGAAATGAAATCCTTTTCTGAAGCCAAACCAAAGTCATTTACTGTATCAAAAAGTCACGATGTCCCTGCTGATTACCCTTCTACTGACACAAAAAGACAAAGTGGCAAAAATGGAATAGGTGGTATATGGGAAAGACTCAGGAAGGCAAAACCTGAGTATTCACATGAAAAAAGCCAGATTTCTTCAGAGAATATAGAGGAACCCACCACTGAGTCAATGGACAAAGAGAGCAAAAGTGAGATGAGTAGCCAAGCAGAGCAATTCTGGTTGACTCAACGTGGTTATTCCTTTGAGAAAGTGAAAACAAAAGGAAATAAAGACCAGATCTCTCCAAGAACCACCACAAGCAAAGAGGGAAGATCTGAGGAGGACATCATAGCCTTCGCCAAGGAAGTCAACTCTCATGAACTTGTTAAGTCACAATCTAGGATAGCAAAATCTTCAGAATCTACCAGAGTTCTAGAAAGTCCAGATGGCAAAAGTGAAGAGAGTAACCTAGAAGAATTTCAAAAAGCTATAATGGCTTTCCTAAAAGAGAAAATTGATAACATAGGAAAGCCTTTGGATAAAAAGACTGTGCCAAAAAAGGAGTTATTATTAAAAAGAGCAGAGGTTGAAAAATTAGAAATCATAAAGGCAAAAGTAGAGGAATATTTCCAAACTGTGGCTGAAACTGTGGCAAAAATCTTGAGAAAATATAAAGGTATAAAAAACGCAGAACAAGTTGGAGAGAAACCTATGAAACAAAAAAAAGAAGTCTCATTTATGCCAGGATTGCATTTTCAGAAGCCAATTAGTGCAAAGGCTGAAATAAGCACCTTACTCTCATCTAACAGCATGGACCCATTAATTGGCAATCTAATACAAATGATCTTGACTGAAATAGAAGGTGAAAAAGATGCTCCAGTAGCCTCAACAGTAGGGAGAGACCACAAGGAAAAGGAAAAACAGAGGCGGGAGGAATATTTGCAAAAAGGTCAAGAAAAAGTATTTGTTAAAGGTCTCAAACACCATTTGCAAGAGGAGGGGAGTTTCTGGAAGAAGAGTTATGAAATGGTAAATAAAAAATTAGAGAAGGAAGAGTCATGGCTCCAAATGAAGGAGAGAAAGCAAAGGCAACAGAAGCAGGAACAGTGGCAAGAAGAGGAAGTGTGGAAGGAACAACAAAAACAGGCTGAGCAAGATGATGAGCAAATGCAAAGAAAAGAGGAGGAAAAATATCAGAAGCCAAAACAGCAGCAGCTGGAGGCATGGAATCAAAAAATGAAAGCACAAGTAGTACCCTTGGAGAAGGAGGAACAGCAGATGAAGCCGGTTCAGAAGCAAGTGAGACATCTGAGGCTGGAAACAAACAGGGAGAAAGAAGAGAAGCAGAAGCCAAGGAGAAATGTAGAGGACCATGAACGGCAGAAGAAGAAAAAACCAAAGGATCAGAGGAAGATCAACTCTGAAGAACTAGAAAAGATGTTCAGCCAAACTTCAGTGACATTGTCTCCCAAGTGGAAGAGCATACGGAAAGTAGTATCCCAGTTACACCAAAGGAAAGAGTTCCAGGGGCATCTTAAAACGTTAGAGAATCTTGCTGATGGAAAGCACCCCATACCAATCTCTCCTTCTCCAGCCACACAATCATCATCACCTGGGGCCTTTCCAATTTCTGGACTGCCTTCCACAAAGACCCTCACTTTAACTCCTCAACAGGCCCAGGCACTGGGAATCAATCTTACCCCTCAGCAGGACCAGGAAATGAGCATCACTGTCACCCCTAAAAAGGCCAAGGCATTGGGGATCACTCTGACTCCGGAGCAGGCCCAGGCACTGGGGATCACTCTCACCACTCAGCAGGCACAGGCCCTGGGAATCACTGTTACTCCTGAGCAGGCACAGGCACTGAGGACCACTGTCACTCCTCAGCAAGCCAAGGAACAGGGGATCACTCTCACTCCTCAGCAGGCCCATGAACTGGGGTTCACCCTCACTGATAAGCAAGCCCAGGCACAGGGGATCACTCTCACCCCTAAGGAGGCACAGGCACTGGGGATTTCTCTCACCTCTCAGCAGGCCCGTGAACTGGGGTTCACCCTCACTGATAAGCAGGCGCAGGCTCAGGGGATCAATCTCACCCCTAAGCAGGCACAGGCACTGGGGATTTCTCTCACTCCTGAGCAGGCACAGGCACAGGGGATCATTCTCACCCCTCAGCAGGCCCATGAACTGGGGTTCTCCTTTCCTGATAAGCAGGCCCAGGCACTGGGAATCACTCTCACCCCTCAGCAGGCACAGGCACTAGGGATAAATCTCACTTCTCAGCAGGCCAAGGAATTGGGGATCACCCTCACTGATGAGCAGGCCCAGGCCCAGGGGATCACTCTCATCCCTGAACAGACCAAGGAATTGGGAATCACCCTCATTGATGAGCAGACCCAGGCACTGGGAATCACTCTTACCTCTCAGCAGGCTCAGGCACTAGGGATCACTGTTACTCCTCAGTGGGCCCAGGCACAGGGGATCACTCTGACAACTGATCAGGCTCATGAACTGGGGTTCACCCTCACTGATAAGCAGGCCCAGGCACAGGGAATCACTCTCACCCCTCAGCAGGCACAGGCACGGGGGATCACTCTCACCCCTCAGCAGGCCGAGGAATTGGGGATCACCCTCATTGATGAGCAGGCCCAGGCACTGGAGATCACTCTCACCCCTCAGCAGGCTCAGGCACTGGGGATCACTCTCACTCCTAAGCAGACCCAGGCACAGGGAATCACTCTCACTCTTCAACAGGCCCAGGCACAGGGGACCACTGTTACTCCTCAGCAAGTCAAGACACAGGGACAGGGGATCACTCTCACCCCTCAGCAGGCACAGGCACTGGGGATCACTCTCACTCCAGAGCAGGCCCACATACAGGGACAGGGGATCACTCTCACCCCTCAACAGGCCCAGGCACAAGGGATCACTCTCACTCCTGAGCAAGCCCAGGCACTGGGGATCACTGTTATTCCTCAGCTGTGTCAGCCACAGGGAATCACTCTCACTCCCGAGCAGGCCTATGAACTTGGGTTCACTTTCATCAAGGAGCAGACCCTGGCGCAGGGTATTACACTCACCCCTGACAGGGCCAAGGCACTGGGCATCACTGTTACTCCTGACAAAGTACAGGAAATGGGGATCACTCTCACCCCTCAGCAGGCACAGGCACTGGGGATCATTGTCACTCCTGAGCAGTCATGGGTACAGGGGATCCCTCTCACTTCTGAACAAGTCCAGGCATTGGGAATCACTCTCACCCCTGAGCAGGCCCAGGCAGGGAGGACCATTCTAACATCTCAGCAGGACCAAGCACTGGGAATCACTCTGAGCCCTGAACAGGCACAGGCACAGGGGATCACTCTCACCCCTGAGCAGGCACAGGCACTGGGCATCCCTGTCACTCCTGAGCAGTCCCAGGCACAGGGGATCACCCTCACCCCTGAACAGGTTCAGGCACAGCAGATCACTCTCACTCCTCAGGAGGCTCAGGCACAGGATACCACACTGACCCCTCAGCAGGCCCAGGCACAGGGGATCACCCTCACCCCTGAGCAGGCTCAGGCACAGCAGGTCACTCTCACTCCTCAGAAGGCACAGGCACAGAAGACCACACTCACCCCTCAGCAGGCACAGGGGATCACCCCCACCCCTCAGCAGGCCCCGACACTGGGGCTCACCCCCACCCCCCAGCAGGCCCAGGCACAGGGGATCATTCTCACCCCTCAGCAGGCCCAGGCACAGGGGATCACCCTCACCACTGAGCAGTCCCAAGCACAGGGGATCACCCTTACCCCTCAGCAGGCCCAGGCACAGGGATTCACGCTGACCCCTGAACAGGCACAGGCACAGGGAATCATGCTGACCCCTGAACAGGCACAGAGGATCACCCCCACCCCTCAGCAGGCACAGGCACAGGGGATCACCCCCACCCCCCAGTGGGCCCAGGCACAGGAGATCATTCTCACCCCTCAGCAGGCCCAGGCACAGGGGATCACCCTCACCCCTCAGCAGGCACAAGCACAGGGGATCACCCCCACCCCTCAGCAGGCCCCGACACTGGGGATCACCCCCACCCTTCAGCAGGCCCAGGCACAGCAGACCACTCTCACTCCTGAACAAGTCATGCCTCAGCAGGCCCAGGCACTGGGGATCACTCTCACCCCTGAACAGGCACGGGCACAGGGGATCACTTTCACCCCTGAAAAGTTCCAGACACTGGGGATCACTGTCCCTCCTGAGCAGGCACAGGCACAGGGGATCACCCTCATCCCTATGCAGGCTCAGGGGATCACTTTCACCCCTCA